GCCTCCTCAAACACACAACCCAGTGAACCACGATTATGTGTGAGTTAATGTGCAATTATCAATATATTTGCTTAACACGGATAATCCTTCCATCAGCACGAAAAAGGACATCAACAAAGTGCATGACAAAGCACACAACGCCCAAGCACATAATGAAAACAAAACAAAAATTACCCATTAGCCCAATTTACCCATTAAACACACAGAAATAGACACCAACTATGGGTACAAGTCTATATAAATGTATATAAGCAATTATAAATATAAATTCATTTGTTATTTTTATTATTTCCTGTTTTCCCTCACTGCAAAAAAGCAGTTCTTCATCGTCACAGTGAAAGCCCAGGCACACACACACAGAGAGAGTCTCCAAGAACACACAGACACACAATGGAGTAGCAATAATAATTATTATAGGATAAACACAGAGAGCAAAAACACACACAAAACACATATTAACATTAAGAAACAAAAAAGGAAGAATATCCCAACAGGTGGAAGATTAGTTAGACTGTAGGGATTGCATGCAAAAAAGAAAAGAAAAAGAAAACACAGGATGACCTGAGTCACACCACACCACCATCACTACAATCAGCACACAAGAATACAGGCCAGTGTAACCACAATCAGTAGTGGTACACGCACCCACACAGAACTGCTGATACTGCTGCTGCTGTCTGCATCACCCTTCTTGTTGTTTGTGAGTTCAGGAGGAAGTGTTGTGGTGGTAGTGGTTGTGGTGGTAGTTGTATCTGTATTTCCCACACTTTCGATGTTGCTTGTTGACTCACTCCCTGAAGGTGTATTATCAGGTTCACTCGATGCAGGATTAGAACCAGCATCACCCGCTGTGGCTGAACCGTTAGGAGAAGGTGGAGGTTGTGATGTTTCACTTCCACTTCCTTCACTGTTGCTGCTGATTCCAGTGTCAGGTGCACTTGCAGGTGCCTCAGGTCTACTAGCAGTATCAGCACGTGCAGCAGCCTCTTGTTCTCCTCGAGGGCCCGGAATTTCCTGGTCAGCTTGAGCACCAGCGCGATCGGCTTCACCAGCAGGCCCTTTACTTGGTGCACCAGCACCACGAGCAGCATCTTGACCTTGTGAACGCCCAGCAGCCGCTTCCTCTTCAACCGGACCCTTTGGTAATGTTGTATCTTTGGGACAATTAGAATTAGCTGTATCACCATCAGGACAAGTAGTAGCACCAGCACCAGCACGACCCTGTTCACCTCTTTCACCAGCAGCAGCACCTTCACCAGAAGAAGCTTGACCT